CCAGAGAGAGAGAGAGAGAAAGAGCGAACGGGGCGCAGTCACAGGGCCCTTCTAGGTTTTCTGGGAAGCCTCTTCGGGTCTCTCTCTCTCTCTTTTCCTGGAGGTGAGCTGGATTCACAGGACAATCGCCGTCCGTGTTCCCGCACACCACGGACCACAAGGCCCAGAGCTCCGCGCATCCCACTGCTCTCACGCAGTGAGGGCCGACCGCCTCGTCCCCGCTCGCCGCGGTTCCCCGTTCGCTGGCCCCGTGAGCCGGTCGTGCCGCTCGACCGTCGCCGTTCGTTTCCAGCGAGCACGGGCAGCAGGGGCCACTGAGACGTCCTGCTCTACGACTGGCGTCTCTCGCGGAGGCCCTGCGAGGCCAGGGGGGAACTGAGCGGAGTGAGACGAGAGCTGTTCCAAGGCTCGGCCACCGGGAGCGCACAAGAAGTGCACCCCGGGATGGTACCGCAGAAGATCCCCTCGTTGCACCGAGCCATCGGGGGCTTCGCTCCCCGAAACCCCAACATGGCTGCTGACAGCCGCCGAACGTCCCCCCTCACGCCCGCGGCACCTTTCGGGTCAAGAACCTCAATAAGGAAATAGGGCTAACCGCCCAAGGCGCTCGTGATGCACCAGTTCCGCCGAGACGTCGAGTTGGGTTCTTGCAGGGCCGGCCTGGAGGAGAGACTGATCGAGATGAAGGAGGGCGCCGCCTGATGGGAGCGGCCCCGCGGGGCCCAGTGGAGAGGGAACTTTCTCGGATGATCGGCAGCAGGCGATGATTCGTTCCTGGGGGGGGACGACATGCCCCGCGCCCAAGAGCCAGCCCTCTAGGAGCGGGCCGCGGGCCCGCCGATGAGTATGCCAGCCTGTGGCCGGTGCTGCCGCGAGTCTCATTTATAGACATTTCAGCAGGCAGTTGTGAAGCAGCGCTTGGCAGTGCTTCGACGTAGCTTTCTTGATACACAGGTCTCCAAGAGGCCTCTGGCCGGTCTGCTCGCCCTCCTCCTCTTCCTCCTCCTCCTCCTCCTCCTCTTCCTCCTCCTCCTCCTCCTCCTTCTACTCCTCTTCAGCCGCCTGGTCTTCCTCCTCCTCCCTCCTCCTCCTCCTCCTCCTCCTCCTCCTCCTCCTCCTCCTCCTCCTCCTCCTCCCTCCCTCCCTCCTCCCTCCCTCCTCCCTCCCATATCCTCCCCTCCCTCCCCCCTCCTCCCTCCCTCCTCCCTCCCCCTCCCTCCTCCTCCTTCCTCCTAATCCTCCCCCCTCTCCCCTCATCCTCTCCCCTCATCCCTCATCTCCTCTCCTCATCCCCTCTCTCCCTCCCCCCCCTCTCCTCCCTCCTCCCCTCCCCCCCTCCCTCTCCCCCTCCCTCTCCTCCCTCCCCCTCTCCCCCTCCTCCTCCTCCTGCTCCTGCTACTCCTTCTCCATTCCTTCCCTCATAAATAGCTTCCCCGCTGTCGCACCCCGAGGCCAGCTTTTAGGGCGGGCCAGGCGTTTCGCCTGAGGCTTCCCAACCAGCATCCGTGAGGCCTCTGACCCGCCACCCACCGCCTCCGAAAAATGGCAGCCCCCCCACCGCACCGCATACCCCGACAAACGACAGCAGCGGGGCACTATGGGCCAGCAGACTGAGCGAAGCGATTCCATAACTTCCCCCTGTCGCACCCCGAGGCCAGCTTTTGGGGCGGGCTAGGCGTTTCGCCTGAGACCTCCTCACCACCATGTATAACCCTGAAGCTTCAAACTTGGCAACAGTTTCACATATGGAGTGCGGGTCGTTTTCAAAGTGTGGCTCTCGCCTTAGCGCCGCGCGCATTCGTTGTAGAAATTTGCGAGGATTTCACGGGATGGGGGCGGGTCGTTTTCAACATGTGGCTCTCGCCGTAGCGTCGCGCACACTCGCTGACAAAAAATTGCAAGGGTTTCTCGGCTTGAGAGCGGTTCCTTTTCAAAATGTGGGTCCCGCCTTAGCGGGGCGCACATTCGTTTTAAAAGTTGAATGGATTTCACGGATTAAGGCAGGTTCCTTTTCAAAATGTGGCTCCCGCCCTAGCGCCGCGCACATTCGTTAATGGAAATTGCAGAAGTTACACGGTTTCCCATGATCAAAGTACCAGAAATGGTGCTTGGAAGGGTTCAGGACCATGAGGGTGCCACAGTTACGTTCATTCGCGGTGTTGATGTCCCAAGAGAAAGCGTTCTGGCACGATTCAGGATCGTCAAAACGCAACAGTCAGTTTGATCCGTGGCGTTGGAATCCCGAGAGCAATGTTTGGGCATGGTTCAGTGACTACGAAAGATTGTCTTCCAACGACGCAGCTCCCTCAATGGAACTGAAACGTTGTAGGGGCCTATGAAGAAGGAGCTTAGGGGGGAAGGTGTATTCCAACATCGTTGATGACTCTTGGGCTTACACAGGTTATTATCCTCCTCCTCCTCCTCCTCCAAATCATCCTCCGATTCCTCCTCCGATTCTTCCTCATCCCCCCCCCCTTTTGGGATACGGCGGCTTTCCCGGCCTTTTACTACACTGCATGGTCCTCCACATCCCTGATCAGTTCAATTCGCCTGGGCATCTATTCTGGATGAGCTGGTGGGGTTACGCGAAGCGTGGAGCTGGACCATAGACGCAAGCAATCAGCCAGCCAGCAAGCAGTCCAAATCAACTACCAACCATCAACTTAGGTAAGAAACTCATCCGCCGAACTGTCAGCCAACCAACCGACAAGAATAATCAACTGACCTGTCGACCAAGCAAGGCAATGCAAGAAATCTACGGGAGGCGGCGGCGGCAGAGGGCGAACCACTTCAGATATACAAGCAGGCATATGCACATCCGAGACTCCAAAAACAGACGAGTACCGAGGCTTGAGCCACATCGTTGAGCAAGCGGTGAACCCCTTGGAATAGAACCCCGTTCAACGTGTCGGCGCCGATCCCCGGCCGACATGGCCCAGAAAACACTCACTCCACGACAAGCGGAGGCCCAAGCCGCAATAGATATTTGCGCTGACGAGATTGGCAGTGGCCAGAGGCCATGCTCGTGCAGGGGGGGCATCTGGCATGAACCTCGACGACAGCACATCGCGCAAGTCGCGTTAAAATGCAGGTGCCATTAAAATCACAGGACGGGCAGGGTCCCTGAAACGACGGGATGCCTGGGCAATATCTCTGAGACCTGAACCCGCTATCGGATTACTGCGTGAAAGCCCCGCCCCAACCGACACGTCTCAGGGGGTTCAGTTTTTGAACAGAACGCGGAGCATACGCGGGAGAACGCTGAAAATATGAGAATAGAACCCGCTCAGTTGTGTACTCCAACCACGGCATATGTGCAAATGATCGATAACACCCCGTCGAATGTGTATTATGCGTGAGCAGTCAAACGTGTCGGTTTGAGGGAAAACGCAGCAAACTCGAACGAGAAACCTGTATCGGCGCAAGTGGCTTTTGACCATCAAAATCACGATAAGAAGAAAAGCCCGAATGCGACGCATCACGGCCATCCTGGCGGAAGTCGTCCACCGCGAGGCGGGGCGGAAGAGGTCGCCCCTTACCCCGCTGAGAAGGTAGACGCGAGGGCAACGTTCCAGCGCCGCGCACTGCGCCCCCTGCGCGCGAAAAACAGCAAACAGTGCTTTGTTGGGGATAATGCGCGAACGGCAGGGTTCTGTTTCACAGGGTTTACCGTGCCATGGAGATCCATTCAAAGCCTCACGCCTGAATACGAAAACAACCACCCCAAGTCAGAAGCATTTCAGTATCTACTGGCATCCGGTCCATCCCACCCACATGCACGGGTCATGGACCAAAAGGCCTATGCAGGCTTCGTGGAGTCATTTGGGGTGAATTCTTGGGGCCTCGTGGGGAGTCTCTTGAAGTCTCATTGGGGGGAGAACCTGAGAGGCCCGGGAAATGGGGGTCTGGGGCCTCCAAATATATTTGCAATAACCACCACACAAAAACCGCAGGCACGAGGAGGCCTCCCGCACGCATTGCGTTTTTAAACAAGCACGCTCCACTACTCGCAAAGTAACTGCTCGCAAAGGGCCTGGGTCCGCCGCGGGATATCTACGATCCATTACATAGAAGGACAACCTGATTTCTCGGGCATTTGCGAGTAGGCACTTTGCGAGTAGTGGAACGCGCTCGGTGAGCTTTGGGAACTCAATCACAATCGGGCACCGTAGGCGCCGATCTTTCCCAAATTAGGCTTGTCTAGAATGTTCCAACTGTTTGATTCGAGATCTCCTGTCAGATGTGTGTATATATATATAACTGCCATGGAGCGGTGTCCCTCTTGTGAGCCTCCTTTTGGTGTATCGCGAGTGCCCGCGAGGAAGAGAAAAGCAGTTTGGGATCGTCGGCGGCGAGCCACGAGGGGAATACAGAAGGGACGGCCCACCTCAGGAGGCTCGGAAAGCCTCTGGCCTTCTGACAAGGGTTGCTGAGAAGCCTCTCAGTTCTCCCAGGGCGCGCCGCCGAAATTAGCAACATCATCACTCGCTATACGGCACGTTCGTGCACGATCGCAGTCGTTCGATTGCGCAGATCGTTCGATGTTGGCCAATTCTTGGCCACTGGCGGCTTGAAACCTTGTACGCCCGCGCTGGGGTAGCCGCTGCGTCGACACGACACGAGCCGACCGATACATGTGTCATGTTAAATTTCTGCGGGCCTGAAGAACGCACTGACTTTGTGACCTCAAAGTCGTCATGCTGCCTCATGTACAGCTGGGTATCGACCGCGGTGACAGCAACCAATGAGCGCACGGAGGCATTACCAAATCATGAAGCTCACGAGCCACGGGGGCATCCTCCCCGCGCGCATTTACACGTGAATCGCTTTGCAGCATACGGGAGCAGTATACCTTGTTCACGCCACGTCTGATCCGAAACGACAACGAATTGGCGGTTTCTCGGTTCCAGTGTGCTTGGGCTTGACATCCTTTTGACTGCGCTGTTTTGCCGACAGGTACACATTACACATCTCCACTCATCCCTCCCTCGCAAGATGGCCTGCCGCATGGGCCCTAGCAGCGGAGGCGGCTGCGTTTGCCTGGCGAGAGGGGTACTCCAAAGTCCATATTGACGACTGATCAGCGTGCTCGCTCAAAGAAGACGATCAGACGATCCAGAAGAGACGGCCGATGATTCGACGATGTGAAGATCAGGCGACTGAGAATGACCAGACGGTCAAGTAGGCATAACAAAGAAGGGGGGCGGGCATAGCAAAGGGGGCACAGCAGAGGGGGCGTAGCAGAGCGGGGGTAACAAATCAGCTGCACGCAGCTGGTCTTCCCAGCGCCTCTGGGCGCCAGGAGCAAACGTGCATCGAGGAGCGCGCTGGGTGGCGGGGCCGAAACCAGCTGCATTGCAACAATTTTCGTACCCCCCCCTCTTCCCAAACCCTCCACTATCGTCCCGCCAGGAGCGACCGCGTGTCGAGGAACGCGCTGGGTGGCGGGGCCGAAGCCAGCTGCACTGCACCAGTTTTCGTACCTCCCCTCCTCTTCCCCAATCCTCCCCTCTCGCCCCGTCAGGAGCGACCGTGTATCGAGGAACGCGCTGGGTGGCGGGGCCGAAGCCACCTGCACTGGAGCAGTTTCCGTACCCCACCCCCTCCAATTCCCAACTCCTCTCCTCCCCCTCTTCTTTTTACTCCTCCTCCTTCTCCTTCTCCTCCTCCTCCTCCTTCCCGTGTACCCCTTTTCCTTGTAAATACCTCCTCCCTGTCGCGCCCCCAAACGTGTCGCTAGGGCGGGCCGGACGTTTCGCCTGAGGAAGTGTGTATTGGCACGACTGAAAATTCTCAAATGGTTAGCTTACAATGGGCACACTTCCCGCAAAGAAAGGAATTATTACATGGAACTGTGAAGAGGAAACTTAGAGGGAGGATGTTCTTGCAAATCTTCAATGATTTGGGTTCACACTCGTCCTCCTCCTCCTCCTCCTCCTCCTCCTCCTCATCCTTCTCCCCAGCCCTCCTTGATCAGTTTCCTCCTCCTCCTCCTCCTCAGGGCATGGCATAAAGGAACCGAATTCAGAGTGAAAGGGCCGCTCCCAAGTCCGCGGGATCTGCTCCAGGACCAGCGTCTCAACCCGAGCCGGTCCGTAACGGTCCCGGAGGCCCCAAGCCCGTGGAACGCCTCGAGGGCGCAGGAACCGCAAACGAGACTCGGGACCCGCATTTCCCTCAGGACCGGTATGCTTCATGGCGATCCTGGAGGCCCCCCCAACGGGGATCCGAGTAAGTGGGACAGTGGATCACGCCTTATAGCCGATGCATCGCCGATACATCGACGATCATCGGCGACGTCGGGGATGCATAGGCTCCGTCGGCATGGAGAAATTCGAGCTGCACAGCGAGTCGTCACGCCGATGCAACGGCGATGCGGCTCGATCCTCCAACCCCATATGTTCGGAACCTGTCTGGGAGGCCTGGAGATCCTCGGCAGGACGGCCGTAAAAGAGGTCCCGACGCCTTCCCTGGGGGCAGATGTTCACTCTGGATCCATGCTTGATGGTCCCTGGGCCCAGTAATGGGCCTGAGGAGCCGAAATCCGCCGACCCTGTCAGCATGTGAAAGACGCGATTCGTCGTCGTCAAGACGCTGTTCGTCGAGAGCCTCATCGTCGACGTCACCGCTCCCACATCGAAGTCGCCGCTCTCGCTTCTTTCCCTGAGCCCGTCGCCGAACAGACCAAAGTCTCATTGCGTCAAAGGGAAGCCCCATCCCTTTGATCCCTTCACCTGTGCGAGGGGGGATCCCGAGGGGGGTCGCCACCCAGATACGCCTCCCCCCTGGGGAGGGTCAGAAAAGCCCCAAGACGGCCAAGATGCCCCCAGGACGGTCCAAGAGGGCCCCGAATCGCCAAACAATCGGTCCAAGACGCCAAAGTAGCCTCCAGACGGTGCAAGAAATTTCCAAGACTGGCCCAAGACGGCCCAAGAGGCCCCCAAGACGCCCAAGAGCGCCCCTAGAAGCGTCCCAAGAGGGCCCCAAGAGGCCAAAATCACTGATTTTCGTTAGGAGTTGCAGGATTGTTGCGTTTCCGCCTTTTCGGTTTTCCGACGCTCCAAAACGGCCTAAAAGGCCCCCAAGATCGCCCCCAGACGGCCCAAGAGAGCCCAACAAGGGCCCCAAGTCGGCCCAAGGGGGCCCCAAGACAGCCCAAGAACCGCCCAGCCCCAAGACGGCCCCACGAGGGGCACCAGAGAGGGACCGCGAACGGAAAATTCTAGCCTTCCGCCCCAAGAGGCCACCAGTAGGCCCCAAGAGGCCCCCTAGAGACCCTCAAGATGCAAAAAGGCCCCAAAGAGGCCTCCTGGAGCCCCCCAGCAGGCCCTCAATACAATCCCAAGAGGCCCCAAAACTACCCCCGTCGGCGTTGTGCCCGTCGTCGCCGTCGTCCTCGTCGTCGGTCATCGTCGTCGTCGCCGTCGTCGTCGTCGTCGTCGTCGTCGCCGCCGTCGCCGCCGTCGTCGTAGTCGTGGTCGCTGTCGCCGTCGTCGTCGTCATCGTCGTCGTCGTCGTCGTCGTGGTCGTCGTCGTCGTCGCTGTCGCCGTCATCGTCGCCGTCGTCGTCGTCGTCGTTAGCGTCGTCATCAGGGTCGGCGGCACCAGCCCTAAGGCCTTCACAATCTAAAAGCATAAACAAAAGCAAAAACACAGACACAAGCAAACAAACAAACAAACAAACAAACAAACAAAACAAGGCCAAACTGAAATCCACCGACCCTTTGGCGTGTGAGACGCTTTTCCGTTTGAATCGTCGTCGTCGTCCTCGTCGTCATCGCCGTCGTCATCGTCGTCGGTCCCAGGAAAATGAATGAAGCAAGGTACAGGTACGTTGTAATCGAGTCGATCTCCTTCCCCCTTTCAATTCCCTGACGGGAGGGGGAGGGGGGGGAGGAGGGGGAAGGGGGGGAGGGGTCCCGGGTCAGAAGACAGCCCACCCCCCCGTCCGGGGTCCTGGCGCGTCACGGGGGGGAATCGCCAGCGGGATGGGTCCCAGGAGAGGTCCAGCCTTCAGGATCAGCGGCACCGGCCGTGAGGCCTCTGCAACAAGCAGCCACGAAAGACTGCACAGGAAAAGTCGTCGAAGAACTGGATCTGCTTCGTGGCTCTCCTCCTCCTCCTCCTCCTCCCTCCCTCCTCCTCTCCTCCTCCTCCTCCTCCTCCTCCTCCTCCTCCCCCCCCCTCCTCCTCCGCCTCCTCCTCCTCCTCCTCCTCCTCCTCCTCCTCCTCCTCCTCCCCCCCCTCCTCCTCCTCCTCCTCCTTGGCGGCCCCCGCCGGGGCCTGTCTCCGCCGCCCAGGCCGCCCGTGGAGCCGACGCTGCGGATCCGCAGGTCCTGGAGGGGAGGAAGACCACGACCACAACCCAGCCCGAGCGGGGGGGGCAGAACCCCCTTTAATGATGGGCATGTTTTCCGCCACCACCACCATAAGTTGGAGGGGGAGGGGGTCCTCCTCCCCCTCCTGCTCCTCGTCGTCCTCCTCCTCCTCGTCGTCGTCCTCCTCCTTCCCCCCTTCAACTTATGGTGGTGGTGGTGGAAAACAGGCCCGTCATTTAACGCCCTTTGGCGAAAGCTGCCAAGGGTACTCCATACGCGCACGTCACCGCAGTCCGAGTGCACCCCAGCGGGGTGACTGATCGACGTCCAAGAACAAATAGCTGCAAGCAGCGAAACGCACGTCGGCTAGCGAAATCGACTGCGGACTGCACCGGTACACTCGAATACCGTTGTCGAGTGATCTGTGCAGATGTCCTGTCGACTTGTCTGGGTGGTCTAATTCAAGCGTACTCCCGCACGAGAATAGAGGTGCCTGTGGGAGTACCCTGGATACCCATCGGGCCCCGCCGAGGCCTGGATCCCCGCGCCTTCCCCGCCTCTGCCCTTGCTGCTCTCACTCTTCTCCCTGCCGCCGCTCTGGACCAAAACTTGAGGGCCCTTGGCCTTAGAGCTACGCCTCGCCTCCCCGCGTGAGATAATAAAGCGTCCCGTCGCCGCGCGCCGATCCATAACACAATGGCAGCTTGAAGCGAGGCTCGCTTCCCGGCCTTCGGGCCATTCCATATCCGCGACGACATCTGCGACGTGTCTACCGTAATCGACGGCCAGCGTCGTCCGATTTCTCTGCTGCGCAGCGCTTTTCCTCATCGGCGTCAGCGACGCCCACATCCAGCCCAATTCCGTGCTCGATAGCGTCAGCGTCGCCAACTACTCCGCCAGCGTCAGCGCGGCCAATTTCCTGCCCCCGCACATCTACAAGTACAAGTACTCTCCCAACGTCAGCGACGCTGGCACCTACCTCAACAAATTCTGGGCCAGTGTCAGCGACCAGTCAGTCCTACGAGAACGTCGGCGACGACTCCTACCAGCCCGTGAGCGTCAGCGACGCCAATGTCCTTCTCCCTCACACTTACCAATACAAGTACGTTTCTACCGTCAGCAACGTCGGTACCTATCTCAACAAATTCAGCGACAATATCAGCGACCAGCCCTGCAGAGCGTCAGCGACGCCTACTTCCAGCCTAATTTCCTGCCCGTGAGCGTCAGCGACGCCAACTCCCTGCCCGACAGTGATTATTTCATCCCGTTGTCCATTACAAAGATGACGGAACAATATTACCACAATCGGTCAATTATCATGAGTCGCAGTGGAGATCGTGGTGAATTGAGAAATTACAGACAAGAAGTGAAGTTGTGGAAGCTCAGCGAAAACCTAAAGGTCACACAAAGTCTTGCGTCGAAACTGGTTCTCAAACTCACTGGAATGGCACGTTCGGCCGCGCTCAACATGTCAGAAGAAGACCTCCATCCGCCAGCAGATGATGACATCGAGGATGCCGGCGAGAAAAGACGAGATAGAAATCAAAAGGGCATCGAGAACGCACTCCAGCATCTGGAAACACACCTAGGCCAGCAGATGCCCCTTTCAGAAGGGAGAGACGCTGGAGAACATCTTCGAATCCACACAACATCACCATCGGAAAGGAGAACGCATGACAGATTGGCTCGGGCTTTTTGAGGCCGGACTACAACAACTCCGCGAGAACGAGGTGGATTTGACCACCTTGGACGACGTCGCAGGTTGGTTCCTACTGCGCAAGGCCGGGCTCACAGCTGAGCGCCGCGAGCGCGTCGTGGGCAACCTGCCGGACGAGCACTATTCATTTCAGCGTGTTCGTGGACAATTCGTGCGCATGTTCCCGGACATACATCCACACATCCGTGCGCATCATCAGTAATTTTGCCTTCGCGGCCGTGGCCGCAACGCTCCAACAACAGTTTCAAGCCATCGTCTTCAAGAAGCACGCGCTCATCTAACATCGTCGACGACCCCGAGGAGGACGATGACGATGAGAACTACGACGACGGCGACACCGGGACGGACGTCCAGGACATCGTTCGCCAGGAGCTCGAGGCTTTCAGCGCCGAGCTGGAGTCGTCTAACATAGACCTTGGCGAAGTCTTCGACGGCGAGGACACTGCAAGGTGGAGGCCGCCGCGGCGGAGCTTGCCGCGATTCCCGAGGCCATGGCGACCATTCGGTCGGCCCGGGAGGCCATCAAGGGCCGCGGGAAATCTGCGCCGCAACGGCGTCCCGCTGGCAGGGGCCTCCAGAGCCGTGTGGACCAGCGCAAGAAGTCATCGCATTGCTGGGACTGCGGAGAGACGGGCCACAGGACGGGCGACACGGAGTGCCTAGCACCGGGAACCCGTAAGAATGTCCCCAATGACAAGCAGAAGGGTGGAGGACGTGGTGGCCGAGGAGGCCGTTCCCATCGCCAGGCCAATATCACCGAGCAGGTCACCGAGCAGAACCACGTCGAGTTCGGCGACGAGGAGATAATCCTGCATCTGGAGTGGCCTGTCACTCGACCGCCAGAGACGCTGGTCTCCGAGCGGGTAGTCCACGACCTGCCCACCATCAAGTCCACCAACACTGGTGAGAAGCCTAACGACGGTGGGGTCGGCGTGAACGACACCGCCTGCCTGTTCAGCGTTGGCGGGCTTGGGTGGCACAAAAAGTACAACGCCAAACTCACCAAGATGGGCCTCGCCGACGAGATCTTGGAGGGACTGGAGGACGAGGTCGACAGGTTCGGGAACGGCAGCACACTCCCGAACGGGCTGCGCGTTACCGCCCAACTCGTGCTCTGCGGCCGCGCTGGCTGGATGTTGTTCAGTGTCGTGGACAGCTCCACGCCCGGCCTGCTGATCGGCCAGGACTTCATCCAGCCATCCAAGGCCGACATCTCGATCTGAAAAGGCAGATCTGCATTGGGAATTACTCCCAGAAGCTCGTGACTAACACTGCTTGCGGGGCATCCCGCCATCAACCTCCAGCCAGAGGAGTGGCTCGCCATCAAAGAGGCGGCCACACGTTCGATTCGACGACCACGGGACAGAAAATTCCCAACAACAAGGGGGCCGCCCTACCTACCGTGAACGACGCGAGCTGGGCGGATTTCCTGATCGAGTCCATCACGAAGCTCATCCCCAAGAAGGATCTGGACGTACCTAAGCGCCTTCAGCAACGTCGAGTCGCCGGTTCGCGGCTCATGACTGCTGTGGCGTCGGCTCCCACCAGCTGCTCTACAGCTACTCCGCCGACCTCCACGACAACACAGGCGATGACTACCTGGGACACTAAGCCGCTCGACGACTGCATCGCTTTCGGCATCAAGCCCCACGAGGAATGCCTGCACCTCGCTTTCTGCCCTGACTGTGTGTTCGGCAACTCGGTTACGCTCGACGTCGAGCATAACAAGGCGAAGGAGGTCAACCTTGTGGAGGAGGAACAGATGAAGATACGTACCCTCAAGAGGGGAACGAAGCCGTTGCTAACCGCCGGTAGGCGGTCGGCCAACGTTACCAACAAGAGCGGCATCCTGCCGCATACGAGCTCGAGACGCTCAACACCGACCTGGCCAAGTCAGCTACGAGCTCGAGCCTCATCTCGGGCGCCAACGCAACCGTCCTCCACAAATGGTGTTGCAACCCGAACAACAAGCTCAACGAGAAGTGGATGAAAAACGGAGGACTCGCTGTTCGATGTGGCCTTCCAAGCTATGATCTTTCCTGCCATCACGTGGTCAACAAGCTCGAAAGCGAGATACGAAATGACCTACTCAATGGACAAAGCGTCCGTGTGCATGCGGCATTTCCATGCACGCCTTGGGTCGCCTAGCAGCGCATTATCATCAAGATCGACCCCAGAAAGGCATCGCAGCTCAAAAGGGGTAAGAATCACTCTGCGACGATGATCGACATGTTCGGCATTGTTTTGCGTTCGGTTTCCTTCGAGTGGCCGCGCTTCTGCGACGGCTGCAACCTGGAGAAGAACTACATCGCGAACAAGCTGAAGGAGCAGCTCCCACACATCATCGACTTCGACGGCTGCGCCGTCAATCTGGACAGAGAAGAGGGACCCTATGAAACTGTGGAGGATCATTACTGGCCACTACGAGATCGACGACTCGTTGCGCAGGTGTTGCAGCGGCTTGCACAAGCACGTCGAAGCCCGTGGCCGATATGCGAAGGACAATGAGAGACACACGAATAAGCTAGTCACCGTGTTTGCCAAGAAAATTCGCAAGCCGAACAAAACAGCCTCACAGGAAGCAAACCCGACACAACCGGCAAGGAGAGCCGCCAGAAGGTCAGCACCAGTACAGGCGGCCCCAGCAGAGCCAGCCTTGACAGCAGCGGAGGAGCGGACGCTCAAGTCCGCCATCATTAGGGGGAAAACAAACCTCCCTCGCTTTTGACCACCCTCGCTTCCAAGAGATACCAAACGATGCCAAATTGCAGCCTGTACTGGTCAGGCCGCTTGACGAGGAGGCGCGTGGTATGGCTTGGTTTTGCCTGGAAGCGAAAGCGGGGGAGGTGATTCACGCTCTGAATCATGCAGCTCCACGTCGATACGGGACACACCGCCAGGAGGAGGAGGAGGAGGAGGGGGAGGGGGAGGAGGGGGAGGAGGAGGAGGAGGAGGAGGAGGGGGAGGGGGAGGAGGGGGAGGAGGAGGAGGGGGAGGAGGGGAGGAGGAGGAGGAGGAGGAGGGGGAGGGGGAGGAGGGGGAGGAGGAGGAGGAGGGGGAGAGAGGAGGAGGGGCGCAGGGGGCTCTCGCTGGCTCGGGCGATGCGCGATGCGCGTCACGGGCGGATCCCAAGAGAGCGGTTGAGATGGCGCTCCGCCTGCACCGTGAAGCGTGTGCCGCCCCTCAGCGATCCCTGCCACACAGGGATCCTTCTCCTCCTCCCTCCTCCTCCTCCTCCTCCTCCTCCTCCTCCTCCTCCTCCTCCTCCTCCCCCTCCTCCCCCTCCCCTCCCTCCTCCTCC